CACGGTCATTTCGAAGCATTCCTCGTGTTTCCATCCTTTAAGACAACGACATACAATACAATACAGTGATCACTTGACGCCGCAATCCCAGTACTACTCAATGGAAACGACATTCTTTAAGACATCTTTCAGCTGGAGGTTCACCAACACCAAAACAGTGAGCTGGTGGATAATTCCCTGTACATCATTGTCTTGTACGTTCATATGTTCTACACCCACGTACGTTTGGTGGTCACTTTCGGGAATGATGGGTTAAGTGCCATGTAACGGGGTTTGTTGTAAGCATAGTCTTTTTCGGTCGAGACGCTTCACTCTGTTACGGGATTTATTGGCCGGAACCATCCGATGTAAGCTCTTGTTTGTCAAGTATGAGCGTACCTACAATGTAAACATAGATTAAATCGATCCTAAGAAAAATAATTTTCCAACTCACCTACATGCCCTGTTCCAGCGGTTGAATCACAATCGATCACCGGAGGCAGCTTCCGAACACCGAATTAACCGAATTAACCCATTAAAAAAATGAAATTCCGTGGAACGTTTTTTTTCGTCTCGTCAATTTTACTTTGGTGGCAAATAATGTAGGGTTCAGTGCTGCCAAAAACTTTACACTGAAAAAAGTTTTCATATAGTTTCCATTGGGAACGCACATGATATTTTTCCAATAACAAAATTAATGATTTTTATTTGAAATTCAAATAACGTTCATACGATCACATGAATTGTATATGACAAATCACATAAACTTCATTGGACACATAAGGTTCATGTGATTTTGTGATGCGATTCCCAATTATGAGATCACATGAAAGTTAAGTGAAATTCTAATGGATATTTTCCATTGGAAATGTGATTTATTTTTTGAGTATACTATGAAGAAGTATTTTTGACAGTTGAACAACTTTTATTTTAAAAAATGCACTTTTAAAATAACAAGTCAGAAGTGAAAGAAAAACTTTCAAACCAAAGATATAGCTTTCATTTTGAAAATTTTCACTGTTAAAACTACGAAATTTGGGAAACTTTTATTTTGAATTTGCATTATTTTTATAGCAACAATTTTTGTTTTTTTGTGTGTAGAAATCTATTTAAACAACTTTTATTATAGCCACCTAAACGGTTTATTCCACCCTTGTTGTGTTTTCCACGTAGTAAGTGGAAACCTAGATAAAATTTAATAGAGGTATATTTTTACTGAAATCATAAAATAATACTTACCTTTGATTTGTCGCGTAACCTAAAAAGGACCTAAAATACTGTAACCGTTTGTTACAAAACATATCAGATTTTTAATTTGTGCATAGTTGTTAAATGTACCGTCACGTCTCTTAAAGTTATTTGGTGTTGGATTAGTAGGGTTAGTAGTCGTTGTATAAAATTGTTAATTTGTTAGTAGGATTAATTGTTTTAAATTTGAAAATTGTATAAAACCGTACAACTACAAACGAAGTGACAGACGGAGCGGCTCGAAAACTTTGGCGACTAATCTGCTATTTCAGTTTTTCAGTGTACCACATGGCAACACTACTAGATTGTACCACATGGCAACACTACTACTGGATTGTACTAGCATTTTCACCAAATGTATTAGAATGTTTTGGTTCTATCTCTTTCACTCTACTCAAAACTGAAATGCATAAAAAAATGACAAAATGATACACTCTTTGCACACTGTCAAAGAATCACTGTACACAAAATCAACTTTGTTCAAATCAAAACAAAAAAACTAACCCATCTGGTGGATGATGGCACAAGCTTCCAAGAAAATTCTATTACACTGAACCACATTATTTTAATGGATTTCTTCGCCAGTTAGTCGTCTGTCACTTCGTTTGTGGTACAACAGTACAGTGGGTATGAGTATTCTATCAGTGGGTACAGTAACATTCGGGCGAAATTATGATTTCAAAATGGGTGGAAAATAACGTCTCACGAGAAGAGCAAATGACGAGTGCACGGATGGATTTGAGTTCACTCACTCGACAAAAAGTGACACAACAGCGGGGCCCTGTTTACTAAAAATGAACACATATGTGTTCATTTCTAGTAAACAGGGCCCCGCTGTTGTGTCACTTTTTGTCGAGTGAGTGAACTCAAATCCATCCGTGCACTCGTCAATGGGATGGGAAAAGCGCAAAGGAAAACCGCCTTCCTCAATCAGTATCTGGCGTTCGTGTGCTTCGGATCGTTAAAACCAAGTGTCCTTAAAGAAAATAAAGTGATGAGTGGTGAATCGCGGGAATATCTATCTGTTGAATCAGGTAATACGGCTTGGCTAATTAATTACCGATAGCTAACATTAATCGAATGACCATAGACCAGTACGACAATTAATAAAAATAAACCCCGTTGCCCTCACAGGACCTTTTTTGTGGTACCATTCGGTACAGCGCCATTTTGTGAACCAACCGACTAAGTCGGTCAGGAAGCACACGAGTCGGATTATTGGTCCTTAGTGGCTATTAATCCTAACAGTAAAGGACATCATTTCGCTTTCAATGCTAAGCAAGGTCAAAATTGCCGCATTCCTCGGGCCAAGACGGCTCTAATCTCAAAAGAGGACCCCTCCTAGCAGAGTCACTCCGGCTTTGCCTGGAATCTGGGGATTCTTGTCAACGAGGGTAGACGCCAGGAGACCGCAGATCGCCATCAAGTCAAGTCGATCTGTTGACCGATCCACTAGCAAGTAAATTCAAACATCACCATCCTGTCAGGCTTGATTCGCCCGACGTCAAGCTCGTCGTACGTAGGATCATCGACGAGCGCTCGCACATCGGCAGAGTAGTCTTCGGCGGAGCAGAATCAACGGCAACAGTTGAGTACCGGTACGTCAAACCCCCATAGAAAAAACCCACTGTACACCCATAAAATTCAATAGAACTACTATTAGAAATCCAATCCACACATCAAAATACACCCTTTGATTACTGTGTCACTTAAACTTTTCATATCTCTTAGTCAGGTGACAGTACTGCACATGAGGATCGCGAAGCCCTTTCAGATTACCCAGTAGTAAGCCGACCTTGAGAAACAGCTTGAGCGTTTTTACCGGGATACAGACAGTAGAGTTACAATACTTACCTTTGATTGTACTTACTATTAGAATGAACTAGAATCGTCCTTCCATGGCAAACGTTGACCTGAGATAGCATTTAAAAGAGCACTGAAAATGTAAGATAATTTGTATAAAATTAACCTTTGTATAACCGCTAACATAAATAATAAATTACAGCCTTGAAGCTACTGAGTGCGCAACTAGAAGAACGGTGGTAGTTCCGACTCAATGCGCATCGAAAGACCAGTGGGGAGCATAGGAGTGTGACCCACCCTAGTAACCAATATATTGGCACTGTGACCAAGCTTGACGTCATTCTGCATCGATTCCTTGTGGCCAATCGCGTTGAAATCGGTTCTATATACCAGAAACTCAAAATTCAGACTAAGATTTCAGAGTATAAAGACATATCGATTTGATTACGAAAACCATATCCAAATAGAGTTTGAAATCTGAGTCAATATGAGCCGTTAGCATCTTATTCGTCACAAAATGTTAACACCCAGAAGAAGGTTAATTGGGTTGTTAGTGGATTACCATATGAGCAAAATGAACAAGTCTTGTTTGTTTTAAGTCGACTTCAGATTCAGAACCTACCATTTATACGGGATCGAATCATCACTCAAATGTGTCTAATCGTGAACTGTCTTTACATTCTCAAGCTAGAACCAATGTCTAAGCTTAAAAGTTAGGGGCATTTCCCCAGCTGGCCTAAGCTCAGCTTTATTCTAAGGCGGAACTGTGCTCGTCCGCACCTAGACAACATAGCATAAAGTACTGGTCTGAATCCCACGATTCTCTTCTTATTCGAAGCCTTTTTTTTTACAGAAATTGGTTACTTAAACTTTGCACAATAATTATTCTCCAAAATTGCCTATAGACTTCACTCCTTAGAACTCTGAATCTATACATTTTGCAATATGTTTCGGGTCCTTAAACCCCCTTCAATCAAATTATGAACTTAGTTTGCGTATTATAGAAGAAATGGCTCTAATGTTGGCCTAGTTTTCATAAAAATCCCCTGATCTTAAATTCTTATGTTTACTGTAGACCACGATTTAGACTTGTAGAATGCTTTAAAACCTCTATAAAACTTTCAGTGTTTGTTGGGATGGCATTGATCATAAGTAAATCAAGTAAAAGTGGTTGATGACGAAGTTAAATAAATTATAAAAATTGGTTAGCATTGGTCTCAGTTCTACAAATAAAAGTGCCTACGAGTATATTAACTTTCAAACCTAATGCGCAAAACGATGTTATAAATAATAGATGAATCAATGTGACATGGTATAGAATCCAAAAATTACCTATACCGAATAGAAGGCAATCAAACGCGTAGAAAAACCGAAACAATGCGTATATATCGTACACTGGATGACTCATCCAACCACCTGTAGATCCATCAACCAAAGCGAACACATTTCGAAAAAGAAATCAATTTACGGTTTGCCATAGTCCTGTACGATAAAAACCCACCCAACCATTTGCATATTCCTACCTATGCCAATAAACGAAATACGCTAGCTCCCTCACAGTAACAAACCTGCCCAACCAGCCCAGGTCCACCACCATCATCTCCCCAACGTAAACTCATTTTCCTTTTTCTATCGAGCTTCTATTCTTTCGGAAAGGAATCTGATCAACCAAAACACAAACACTTCCGCATCAGCCCCGAGCGCACGTGGCCAACCACCCACCGCCCCCTCCCCCCCTCATGCAAGGATTTGTTTTCGTTCCATCCCTTTCCACCGCACGGAAGCCGGTTAGCGCGCCTCAGCGTCGAACAGCAGCATGTGTTCTCACTCCCGAAGAAGACCGTCGTCCGTCAGCGGAGTGGAAAACCCATTGAGGATATCGATCGATCCTCGGAGCATGCGCCGTCCGGGTCGCCACACGGAACGCTGCGGAGCCGAGGCGAATGCAGGAAAAAATGGCGTCAAAGTAAGTGAATCTCGGTGGTGCAGCAAGACTGTACGGTGGTGAAAATTTGAAAAATTCTAGTGTTTAAAGGAAGTGTCTCCGAGTGAAAAGTGCTCGAACGGCTTGGTTAAGGTCCGGGGAATGTGAGTATGGTGTTGGTTTGCGGGAAAAAGTGTAAGGATTTGGGAAAATTCGGGGAATCTGTTCGGTTGGACCCACCTTGGCTTCAGGAGAGGGTTTTGGGATGACAAACATCTGCAATGATAAAATTTCAAGGGTTTACTTAAATTGGACATTTCAAGGCTCGGTTCATCGCTTGAGGGGTGTAACGAATTTGGGATAATTGATTGCTCTAGCGTTGTGGTCCATTACTTGCCGATCCATATGGTTTTTAGGAACAGGAACAAATTTAAAGTTGGACTCACCCTTTTTTTTGTTTTTGCTGTCCCTATGCTCATACTCACACACAGGAGGAAAATCGATAGAGGATAGATTAGGCTTTTTATTTATCGCTGTAACCCGAGACAACCGCAAAACATTGAGTGTGCAGTGTGTTGCAGTTGCAGCGAAAAAGGGGGTTATCTCCTGTGAAGGCAACCGCCCGGAAGAAGAAGAATTTCAACCCGAATTCCAGTGTTAGTCACGAACATGAAGACAGCTTAGTACTGTTGTTGTTGTTGTTGTTGTTGATATTGTACCGAGTTCAGCCAGCCAAACAACAACCATGGAAGAACTACTGATGACTATCGTAAAGGAGGCGACCGGTAGCAAACAGCAAAATCTGAAACAAGCCGCACAAATTGCACACGGTGAGTACAGTTGGATGAGTCATTGATTTTTGTGGGCTTCAACGCTATGGGTTTTCTTTTCTGGCAGACAAACTCCTACGTCAGCATGGCATCCATCGGGATCCCTCGTACGAGCTGCGAACGGTGTGCTTCACCGCACTCCAGATGGCGCTGGAGACAAAGCGACCCAAGTTTGTCACCTACGGACTGAACGGCTTGCACGTAAGTTTCTGATCATGTCTGGAAATTCCGGAACCTTACATTAACATCTCCCCACTCTTGTAGCGCATCATCCGCGACGAGCGGTTCTTCTTCGGTCTTGAACCGGAGGACGATTCCCTGTGGTTGCCGGCTCAACTGCTCCGATCGACTTCCGGAATTTCTACCGTCGGAAACGAGGACACCGTTGTCAACGTACTCCGGTTGTTCCTGTCGATGGCCTGCTCTCCGACCTGCACCCTCAACGGACGGCTTCTGATCGAGGTCCTCTCCAAGTGTGGCGAATGCTGGGAAAACGGTTCCCGAGCCGTAAAAGCAGCTTCCCTAGCTGCCGGTAGCCAATGTCTCCGCGCGTTCTGCACCTTTCTCAAGGACGAAGCCGAAGAGATCCTACGCACCGGTCCGGCAGCGATCATCAACATAGGCATGGCTGCGGCCGTCTACAATGAGGTTATCCCCGTTATGCAATGGCTGTGCAGTCGGTTGATCGAACCGACCACCGGAAGCCCCAAGCGGACTGACTCCGCCGGGTCTCTCTACCTAATGGAATGCATCCTAACTCTGGTAACCTCCCTGCCACCGGATGTCCACGCAAATCCACACTTTACAGCGTTCCTATGGCAGAAGTTCTGTCCAACGCTAGCCGCTACCCTCGGCTCCCCCGGAAGAGTCAACATTGACAAAAAGTTCACTTACAAGTAAGCATCGCTTGGAATATCCTCCACCAATAGCCCTGACATTTTTCTCGATCCCACAGAGACGCAATACATCTGATTGAATCGGAGCACCGTGGATTCTTCACCCGTCCGGGGCTGGATGGCCCCCAAGCCCGTTGCATCTACCTGACCAGCATCCAGCTGTTGCGAATCGCCGGAGCTCAGGGTACCCTTAGGCCCATGCTGGAAGCCTTGTTCCATCGGATGCTGCTACTGCCGATACCGGCAAATCGCGCCGAACCCCTGCGCTGCGTTCGGGAGATCCTCAAGAGCCCCGAACGGCTCATCGATCTGTCCGTGATCCTGTACCCGGACAAAAACCAAGGACAAAGCTGCAGCGACGATATGGCACTGTTTCGACTGTGAGTATTCTGGTTCATGAATGATTCGTTAGGAAATCATGACCTTTTAAATTTCCAGAATAATCGACGCCATGGAGGAATGCGCAACCACGTCCCAGCACGGCAGCAACTCCGTGGACAGTTCGATGAACTCCAGTGTAGAGTGCATCGTAGCTTTGCTCGACAGTCTCCAGACCCTATGCTCCGGAACGTTCGACGAGTCGATCATGAGCGACCGGATCGCCGATGTCATCAACAATCGGTACCACCAATTGCGCGAATCTGACTACACCGGTCCGTTGACATATCAATCGATGGCACGGCTGCCGGCACCGTATCGGGATGCCGTGGCTGAACTCCGTCAGAATGGGTTCGAAACCTCGTCGGAGTCAGAGGTGGATGCCGAGCATCCTATCGATCCCGAAGCGGGATCACTCGGATCCGGAGACACCGAGGGCCCAGAAGACGAAGCCCACTCCTCCAGTGACGATGTATCATCCAGGGCCGACGGAAACTGGCCCTGGGCTCATCTGGAGGAACCTCCACACGTGCGGTCCGACGTGGACTGTGATCGCCATCACGCCAGGGAATTTGCAAAGGTGCTCACCGGTGATCTGGTTCCAAACCTGCTGAAACTGAAAGCTTCCGTCGAAGTGGATGAAGCAATCCAGGAGTTTGCCTCCAACATCTGCCAACAGAACAGTGTAAACTACTCAGATTACGATTACAATCTGACCGCGTTGAACGCGGATGGCATCTATCTGGCCACCTACTCTGCTCTCCTGCTAGCACTGCAACTTATGAAAGCCGGTCACTACGACGAAGGCCATGAACCGATCCTGATACCCCTGTCCGAGCAGCAGTTCGTGACCTCCGTCCAGAATGCCGGAGTCCTGGTCTACCTGAGTTCCGCATGGCTTCGCGAACTGTATCAAAGCATCCTAGCTTCCAATCCTCTCGGAACGCTCAAGTCCATCGAGAACACGGATGGATCACACTGCGCTCTGGTGGACATGCTGTACGACGCTGGAGGCGTCGGACCATCACAAATGCTTTCGGATTGGCAACGACTTCAATCGGTCGTGCGAATTCAAAGCGAGCCAAACGTCAAGCAGCTGGCAGCTAAGAAGCTCGCTCGTCGTCTACTGACGTGCTGTTGGGATTCAATGGTCACCGTGCTGACCGCCGGCCTGGGTGAGGTCGATGATTCTCGCACCGCTCGGTTGATGAAGTTATCGAAGAAGACGCTCCGCGTTAAGAAGAAAGCTCGTACCTCTGGTGAAGCGCTGTACGCGCTAAGCTTGGAAGGCCTCCACGCAGCGGCAACTTTGAGTAATTCCCTGAATCTGCAGCATTTGGCCGGGAAAATTCTGAACCTGATCGCGACTAACGTATGCCAGAATTCCGGTCCAAAAATTCCCGCCAGTCAGGCCCTGTCGATGGACGTAGTGTTGTCCGGAGGATTGGAGCTAGGATCACATTCGGCCGACTGCTGGCTGCCGGTGTTCTCCGTCTGTCGCCATGTGACTCAACTGGAACATGATCTGTTCAGTTCGCAGAACGCTCAGATGGGGAATGCTTCGCAGGTGGCGAACAGTGGAAAGGAAAACGATTCGCCGAGCAAGAGTGGAGGGCAATCGGACAAGTTGAACCTGTCGTCGTATCCAATCGACGAGGATGAGACCTGGTGAGTTGGATTCAGTTAGTGTGTGAAATTTTGATTTTAACAAATTCTTCCATTGCAGCGTGGACGTCTACAGTTTCCTGCAGGCTCCGCTTCCAAACTCGAACGCCAATGTGGCGACCATCCTGAAAGCGTACTCCGGGAATGATACGGTGAATCTGTCGCAAGCGGATACGGCCAAAATGCTGTGCGCGTTGTCTCATCAGGCGGATACGCTCTTCTCGGATGCTGCCGAACGGCTTGCTCTTCCGGCGCTGCTGCACTTCTTGAAGAGCTTGTGTCGGGCGTCGCGTGAGCAGCTGTACCGTGGCTCGTCGTCCAAGAAAGGTAAAAAGTCCTGGTGGCTCGGTCGCCCGTGGAAGGTCAAGAACGATTCGCTACCGCTGTCCCTGCTGTTGCATCGCGTCGGAGACGTTACGCTTAAGGTATTCCGGGGACCAAGGCCACTGTTGCACATCCTGAAGGTTTGGGCCATCACCGGACCGCACTTGATGGATGTAAGTTTGATGTTTTGGGGAAGTTGAGCGCAGGTAATGATGGTTTTTCGTTTTAGGCTGCCTGTCATAAGGATCGAGCCATTTCCAAGCGTGCTATCGAGTACATCCACGACATCATCACGGCCTTACTGGTGGAGCAATCCGAGTTGCCGCACTTCCACTTCAACGAGGCGCTTCTCAAGCCCTTCGAGAATCTGCTGAGCATGGATTCCTGCGACGTGGACGTGCAGGATCAGATAGTCGGTTGTCTGTACGAGATCGTCGAAGCTCACCGCACGGAGATCCGATCAGGTTGGCGACCGCTGTTTGGAACGCTACGAACCGCCCGTAACCGTCCGGTACATCTGTCCAACATCATCGACATCTTCCACGTGTTCCTCGAGACGGATAACACCCTGGTGTTTGCCAACGCTGGACTGGACTGTATTCTGTGTCTGCTGTCGTACTTGGAGATTTCCGGCAGTGGAGGAAGTGTTGCCGGTTCGACTGGTGGAGGTGGTGGCAACGGGCCAGACGGCAGCACAAACGACGACAATAACATTAGATCCAGTGATTTTTTATATGATGCGTTGAAATTCCTCGAACGTTGCTCATCGATCCTTAGCTTTATGTACAATATGCCTCAATGTCCGAATCTGCACTCGACCTACAAGATCAAAGGTATCACCTACACTCACATCATCGATGCCAACATTCCGAACTCGATGGAGAACTTCACCTACTTCGGGCAGGACTACCTGCAGAGCAGCAACGAGCAGTACATGATCAGCTACCGTTCGCTGCATATCGATAAGGAGACGATCACCAAGATCGATGAACTGGACAAGCCGAGCGGAGTGCTGAAGGTGTGGTTCCTGCTGCTGGACGGTCTGACCAACTCGCTGATCGTTTGCCCGATCGCTCACCAATCGCCAATTCTGCAGTCCATCTTCAAACTGTTCAAATCGCTGCTCATCAATCCGGGCATCGAGTTCGGGTTCTACTGCATTAACCATCTGTTGATTCCGATGATTCAGGATTGGTTGCGGTACGTCAACAAGGCACAGAAGAACTGGACTTTGATCGAGAAGAACTTCAAGCACTGCTGTTGCATGACCACCGACCTGGTGGTGGAGTTTATCGAGAAGTCCCAAGGCACGGTCAGTGGTCTGGAGGACCGCATTGTGATTGGAAGCGAGCAGACGTATAACCATCATCAGCAGAGTGTCAAAAGTAAGAGCAAGTTTACGAGTATCGTTCGACCGGTGGATAACATGAAATTCAGTAAGCTGAGAAAGATGACTTCGGCGGACGATCAGCAGCAGCAGCAGAACCAACAGCAGCAACAGCAACAGCAGCAGCAGTATGCGGGCTATTATGGAAGTAAGAAGGAAGAGGATGTATCCAGTGCTACGAAGATTCCGACGGCAGCGATCTTAGCACTGAAGCAGCTGCTGCTGGTGTTGATCGAGTGTTCGGCACAGTCGCAAGAGACGATCGCCAGGGTTGGGGTGAGTTGTATGAAGCACATAATCTTCTCGACGGGACACATCTTCAACGAGGATCAGTGGATGGTAATCACGTCGGCAATCCACCGGGCCAGTACGGTAACGATGGCTCCGCTGAGACAGTTGATCTTCGCTTTCAATGAGAACTCCAACAGTTTCTATGGGGATTGCGCGAATGTGAAGGTTGCGGCAAGACGGGACAGTACGCTGGATGAGCTTCAAAGGGTGCATTCGTTGGCGCAGCAGGTGTTCTTGATGGATAATCAGCGAGATGTGTTGAACTCGAAGGTCAACAACAATCTCGGAGGTGGACTGAATGGAGTTAACGGAGCGGGAACGGCTACGGATGATCGATCGTACTCGTTCTTACTGTATCCATTGAACTGCAATACGAGCATGACCCAGTCTTGTTCGGTGAATGGGGGAGGAATCAGTGCGTCGTTGCAGAGCAATGGACTCAACTTGGATAGCTACATCATTAGGATTCCGTATAGGAACTTGGTCGTGGGATTGCTGGCGAGTCAGATGTTGCTGCAGCTCATTGCGAACATCCTGTTGAACGGGTTGACGAACGTGCCGAACGAGCTGAACTCGTGCATCTACAATGGAGGTGAGACAACCGGTACCAGTACCAGTACCAAGGCACTGTTTCAGCTGGGCTACCGAAGCAAGGAGGTTCTGCTGAGAACGTTGAAGCAGTTCCTGATCTGTTCGATGGACTTTGACATGCGACCGGGGCTGAAGTTCTTGATCCAGAAGGTGTCTAACATTGAGAGTGCGGCAAACCTATACAAACAGATGACCTCTTCGTGGATCATCAACTTCATGACCCTGGTGGACGTGTACATCAACAACATTAGTGCGTACAATTTGAACGAGGATGACATCAAGTACATCTTGGATTCGTGCAGTCACATGACGGCCGCTAGTCAGCAGTGGAAGAAGAACGAGAACTTTGTCCACTACCTGTTGGCTCTGCGGGATCTATGGGATCTGATTGCGGAGCACTTCATCGATAATATGGAGAGTAACGGCAACGATGGATCGATCGTAACGCACATTGTAGAGAACAAGTTGGAGAAATACGAACGCTTCGACGACAAGCTGGACAGTTCGGGTGGCGAAGATGAACATTCGAGCTCGCCGGAAGGGATCAGCTGTGGAGACCTAGCGAACGACATTGACAATCAAGCGGTGGATCCGGAGTCTCCGTCCAAGAGCGATGAGGAGAGCGTCTCCGTATCGACGATCGTTGGCAACCACGGTGGCAGGATGAATCCGTTCAACATCTCCGCTAATCAGCAGCAACATTTGCAACATCAACAGCAACTACAGCATCAACAGCAACAGCAGCAATCGATATCGCCGGAGATCGAGCAACAGCGAACCAACAGCATACAGAAGGATCTGATTTGCAAGCGATCGGCACTGAAGCAGCTCATCGTAGCGTCGATGGAATTGCTGAAGCTGCTCCCCGAGGAGCAGGCCGAGCTTCTGAAGCTTCTGCTCACGCCCAAGATCCGGGAAGCGTTCCGGGTGATCCAGGAACAGGGAACCGGCTTGACGATGGAGTAGTACGCCGCTTTCCGGGAGGTGTTTTTCCCGCTGCGCGGGTTCTCTTCTACGTAAATCTTTTGACACATTAACATATATGCAAAACGTACATTTCGATGGAAGACAAGATATAATCGACTAGACTGAAATCGTTTAACAAAAAATATATATCGCAAATTTACAGACAATGCAAACTCCTGAATTGAAGTTGAATGGCAGATCAAGAAAAAAAACACATATTTTGATGATATATAGCTTTACATGATTTATACATTTACGCATGGAACAAAACAAAATCATATATACCTATATATATACATATTGAAGTCCCCTTAAGAACCCTATAACTGTTGATATACGCTAAGGAATTTACTAAAAAAAACCGCGAAAAAAACGCTATAAACTACAACACTTGAGCTACACGCCCTCCACGCAGCCTGCTGTGAAAAATCTCTCTAAATACGCAAACACACTTCTGAACACTACACAAACACTTGCTCAAAAAACTCCAACACATACACACACACACACACGACACCAAACAGCTTAAAGCTACCGCACTGCGCGCGTGTTCTAATCTTTTCAAACTGACTACTAACATATAACACAGCAAAACAAACAACCCGATATAACCGAAACCTCACCTACTCATATTGTAACAACTACTAACGAACATGGCTTTCATACTCACACCAATACCAGCGTGCTTTCAGTTTTTGCGTTTTCCGGTTCTTTGATTCGTTTATCGACATATACGCTTCTTGTTCACGAACGCACGGTGAAACGCACACTACTGTATAATCTTCGCACCGAAAACAAAACAAAAAACACACACAAACACACACTTACATACTTTTGCGATTGGTGCCGCAAGCGTTTCACTGATGATGGAGTTGCCCTTAACCTAGACGCTTCTGTGACATTTTTTATAAACTCTCCTAAATCTCTTTCTCTTGATAAGTGGAAAACGAAGAAACCGAACAAATCCAATGAATCAAATTACGGAACGGAACAAAACAAACAAGACAAAAACAACAACAAAGTGGCAGTGGTTGTCATTTTTATAGTAATTATTATTGTTATTATCAACATCAGTGGCATAAGTGTATTCGAGTTCTTTCACAAACACAGACACACAAACACACACATACACAAACAATAAAAAAAGTATTTTGATCTGCTTAAGTTGGACAGAAACGGCGAAAGGTAAACAAACCAAGTATTTTTGTGATCGGATCAGTATTTTCCCCTTCAATACCTATTTCTTAACTCCCTATTTTAATCAAACAATTGTAAGCTTGGGTTATCCTCGGTTCAACGACACTGATTGATGTCAAAACGACAAAAAAAAGAAACCCTCCATATTCCCAGTTACATCCATCTGATTGTCGAGAAAGAAAATAATAAAAAAAAAAAACACAACAAACAGCAAATGATGTTATGAATCAATAAGAAAACAAAACAGTATAAACAACATTTCCACAGCTAAACATAAAAGTGGAATCACACAAGTATTTACCCGAAACTGCAAAAGAAAGGAAACCCAAACATGAGAAAAAAAATTGAAACACAACTACTAATTCCAACACCGACATGGAACCTGTCGTGAACAACAATAAACAATTGAAGTAAATATTATATATTTGTGCAACAGATCAGCTGGTGCGTCGAATTATATGGATTATTTGAAAGAAAGCCTTGTTTTATTTTTGTAACTGGTCCCGAAGAAACGAGCTCAACTTTTTGGCTCAGCTCTGGTATTCTCTTCGGTTCCAAGCTAATCGATGCACCCCTCGAAACATAGGGAAATCCACGAACCCCTCATTTTAGCTGTCAAACTTTCATAGCGAATCAAAACAAACATTGTGTAGTACTAGAATTTCGACTAGAATGGGGTACGTTAATTGATTTGCTTGGGACCAATAGGCTAGTCAAGTAGTGAGCCAATTAAAAATCGTTCAATGCGTATTGATTGTTCGTTAAACTGTCGAGTTATAGTGGATCAAGAGTGATCGATTGAGATCGATTTGACCATGGTAGGAATGTTTGTGTGGCTAGCTTTTGGTCACAGACGAAAAGATGAAAGAACCCAATTTTAAAACCTTTAGTTTGTAACCCTCGTCAAGGGTGACAATTATTAACCACCATTTTAACGTGTTTTCCATGAGCGTGTATCTTGTCTGTCATGATTTGTTTTTATTTTGGTTGCACGCTCATGTAACATACTCACCACTGTTGCTGAAATATATATATATATATATATATATATTTTTAATCGTAGTGTGGGTCTTTAATTTTATTCAAATAGTTATGTTAGGTGTTTTAGAATGTATGGAAACAACCATCGTTTTAGATTGTTTTGCGTTTCTAATAAAGTTAGGACCCGTTTCTCCTCCCGCTGCAAAAGAAGGCGAAAACATAAAAAGCATAACAGTCGAGCACGGTTGCAGGAGAACGATGGCGATTTTTGTTATTGTCCGTGACTGTTAGAAGAGAAAGTTTCGAACCACGAAAGGAGTACGACGCGTTTTGCCCCATCCATTCATTTTCCGGTAAAAACTTGTTGTGCCGTTTACGTGGCGCGCGTCAGTTGGACGTATCATCCCTAGCATTGTCGGGTGTGATAGTGGAGTTCCCCCGAAAAGTTGCAAACACACGGCACAGTAGAGTGTAGGATCGCCATTGCGGGAAGCTAATCATTAAGGATCTCGTCGCTTCCCCGGCTAAACGACAAGGATCCAGAATACGCTCGCCGTTCTAGTAACGAAGAGTAAGCCGAACGAAACAGGCTCCCCTTCGTTGCTAATAGCCAACGAGTGCGAGGCAGATGGAACCGAAGGAGCGTTCCCCTGGATAGTCTATCAGAACCGTTTGCGTGGATTTGAACGGTTCGTCGATTCGTCACCACCGTCGCCGGGGGGTTTCGAAAAAGGAGCCTCGCTCATCCCCCCGTCAAAAGCTAAGGACCACTGCTAGACAGCCAAACAGTGAAGAAGAGGATATGTTGGTACAGTCCGTGTCGACGTGAACGTAAAACCGGAACGGAAACCAACCGCCGCCACTATCGTCGAAGGGTCCCACCCTGTGACACCGAGGACAGCGAGGAGAGAAAGGGAAATATCAGATTTGACAATATAAGTAGTTAAATTCAATTTTCTTTCTTTATCTTTTCCCTGTTGGAGGCGAAACAGCCTCAGGCTGAAAGCCTCCTAAATAAAGATAAATCAATCAATCAATCTTTTCCCTATCATTTTCACCTAAATTCGAACGTCTTTAGGAGGAGTACCCTGCTCTTTGCCACCCTTACAAGTTACACGACAGGGTAACAAAGGTGTAACACCTCAGTTGGCTATCAGCACAAAGAACAGACGTTGAGGCTCGAACTAAATTTCTGTAAAAACTTGTGTAAAGAATCCTATTCGATTTAAGCAACATCAACGCCGACGTCCCCACTTAAAAACCCTCTTTGACAGCATGATGGCGCTGGCGTTGCACAACTTACAATGACTGCGCCCGGTTGTTCCCAAGTTTGATTTTGGCACACTGTGTAGAGTAACCAACCCCTTGGGTTCAACCTCGGGTTAAACGAGCATGTCAGCATAACTACCGCAAAGGTCTTTGCGGCCCTGGGATTTATCCGTTGCAATACAAGTGGCTTCACCGACATATATGCTCTCAAGGCACTATACTGTTCAATTGTTCGCAGCATCATGGAATATGCTGTTAGTGTATGGTCGCCATATCAGGCACAGCAGATCATCAGAATGGAAAGGGTTCAACGTAGCTTTATACGGTATGCTCTTCCACAACTTCCGTGGAATGATCCAATAAATCTTCCTGACTATACAAGCCGTTGTAACCGTTTAGTTTCAATTTCCTAGGTTTTAATTTGTGCATGTTGGTTTAGGATACTGTAGTGTTTTTTAGTGTCAGTGTTGGGTTAGTAGGATTAGTAGGATTGTTGGTAAAATTGCTGTAATTGAAAAAATGTGAAAATTTGTGTTAGTAGGTAGTTTGAAATTGATATTAGTTTATAAACTTAATTGGGTGTGACAGGATCGAAAGGGTGTTATGATCAACTGTGGTAGAAAAACGCAATAGGCGAAGGAGAGGATATGGATGGGTGGTGATACGCTACAAGGAAGGAAAATAGAGGAAATAAGGAACGAATTGAAAACTGGATGGGAAAAGGAGGGCTTTTGATAGCTGGGATGGTCAACCATTGCCCAGAAGTAAACCGGCGTTTGTGCCTAGAAGACGTGAGTGGAGTACAAAAGTGAACCGAAGTGCAGTGAATGACCTTTTAATGTTCCTGATGTTCATTCAGGACCTTTTCGATTTATTCCACGGATATCCTCACGATCGGCACTTTTCGACCAAGTCAGTCTCAACTGTCTTGGTCTAAATGTCAAGGACCTTCAACTCTCCGGCTTAATAATTGCCAGAAAGGAGAGCATCCTCGGACTCGGAAGTCCTAATTGTTAAGGAGGAAGACCCTTCTCGGCTCGACCAAGGTGGCCTTGTCACGGTCAGCTGATATTTGCCAACGAAGGGAGACGCCGTTGACACTGAAAAGGCTTTTTCGGTAGCAGCACAGGGATTGCTATATTCCCTGTTTGCAAACCGCCATCGCAACGCGCAAACCCAAGCCTCAAATCTGCCATTGTAGTGACCACAGCTCCAGTCACCAGGCGCCATCTTCCAGACCAGTTGAAGGCACCGATCCGCCATTGTCGACGGAGTGATCAAGCCACGGACCGCCATCGCGGTCAAACAACAGCAGCCCAATACAATCACCACCAGCGAGCGCTCACCATCGTCCAGCAAACACCACCGGTACGTACCAAGGAAGCAGAAACCCATAGAACACACCCCATAATAGCCCAATAAAACCATCCGCACCATAATTCCATTTGAATAAACTTCTAGACTTTTCCACCCACACTTTAGCTTCCAATTAATTTCACCATCACTTAATAAATCCCACAGTTTCTGCACAGTTTGTTCCGCGTACCCCTCCGAATTACCCAGTAGCATGTCGGCCCTGTGACACAGATCAGGGGTCTCATGCTACTGAGCTAGATATCCGGGAGTCTTTGTTGAGCCACTAGGGTGAGTCTCATCTAGTCTCACCGTTGCAGACTTATAGCCATGGAAACTCTAGCTCACAGGCGCACTGAACTTCAGAGGTTATTTGTATTCGATCTTGTCAAGGGTAACCTGGATTGCCCTTCACTGCTGCAGAATATTAACTTTTATTCAGCTTCGTGAACGCGACTTATTTTTAGTCAGGCGGCATAGAACCACGTATAACAACCCTATTGATAATTGTGTTAGCGCGATTTTAATTTGGTTAAGATTCAGTCTGTGGAGTTTTTATAAATTCAAGACAATGAACAACTAAATATTTAAAAAAAAAATGACAACTGTGGTGAGTTCTACTCTAAAACTCACTGATCGGTAATAGTACGTTCACACTACAGAGTTATAACATGTTATAGCGCTATCTTGATGGTGATTTCTGTGTTGCAATTATTTGACAACCGTTATAACATGTTATAACTCTTGAGTCTGTACGGCGTTTAAAACGCTGTCCAGACTGGAGAGTTATAACATGTTATAACGGTTGTCAACTAATTGCAACACAGAAACCACCATCAAGATAGCGCTATAACATGTTATAACTCTGTAGTCTGAACTAAAGAGCCTGAATTTATAAAGAGACGACATCTTATCCATTTGACAGGTCTTCTGCTCGATTGGAATGACTTTTCATATGACTTTGACAGACAATCGATTGTTCCAATTTTGACATGTCGCCTCTTTATAAATTTAGGCTCTTTAGTCTGAACGTACTATAACACGTGGATTTTCGAACATGAAAAATAACTTCCGAAATGTCACTTGGATCACCACATGGCGAATGAGAACGTCCCAAATTTTAGTATAGTTTACTCACAAGTGCAGGAACTCAGTGATGAGTAAATTTGTCTAATGTTTTTCTGTGGAAAACATCATAAACCTGCTGGAAAATGAGGAAAATTGACGAAAATTTTACTCAGTCTAGGAGTAGTACCAATAGACTGAGTGAATTAAATCTTTACTTCTCTCATATTCGGGAATTTTTCCCTGCACACTTAGAAAATAATCCCGAACTTGGTTTAATTTTCTACCGGACCTCTTCGGTTACCAACGAGAAACCGAATAAATGGATTAAAAACCATCGTTTATCGAAGAAGACCCGAATTTCGGTAAAAGAGTATAAATTTGACAGATAGATATGAAGACTAAACCGAAAAGTACGGTAAAGTATCGATATTTACGAATTCGCTACGTGAAAACCGAGAAACTCGGTAAACTGAACCGAATATTCACTAAAACCGAAGACTACAAATCAAGAAGACTGGCAACTGTTCCCTTCTCCCATACAAATGTCAAACGTCACTGATAACAGCGCCTCTGGCAATCCAAGGTGGAAGTTTGAAGCACAAGTGTTAGTGAGACTGTTCATAAACAGTGACTGTGTGTGACCTAATGTCACCGAAACGAATAATCATAACACTCTCGGTACTCGTTGTTCTTTTTGTTTTGCTCTACACAATTTTACGGCAATTTGTATCCTAATCCCAGCAAACCGATGGTT